GAGTTCTCACAAAATCTGATGGTTTTATAAGTGGTCTTCCTACTTCGCTTGCCCCAATCTCTCACCTTCTGCCAAGTAAGATATACCTCTTCCTCTTCTGACATGATTGTAAGTTTCTTGAGGCCTCCCCAGCCATATAGAACTGTGAGTCAATTAAACCTCTATCCTTTATCAATTAACCAGTCTCGAGTATTTATAGGAGTGTGAGAACAGACTAATACAATGCTATTAGATTGATGCTATTATAGAAAAGGAAAAGATACTGAAAATAATGTAAAAATCAAGCAGATAAATTGTGAAGTAGTACTCCAATGAAGAGGAAAAGAACTAGATTTTGAAGTAAAAATAGAAAGATTTAAGGTTACAGCAAAGAAGTGACATTGTTAGCATGATCTGGAAGCAAGGAAAAAGGAAATAGTCATAAGTGTGTTAACAGAAATTAAAGGAATTTACACTTTATACTTTTCAGTAAAGTAAAAGGTCTCCTACTCACAGTGAAGAAGATAGTTTAGTGACGGGGACGTTAGAAGAGAGTGGAAATGCTTGAATTTGCTACAGTAGGTCATGACAGTAAATAGAGGGCCACATTTATTTTTGTAGTTTATTATTTGCTCTCATAACTCCCTAATAGCACGAACTTGAAAATACACAAGTTTTATAGAGTTATCCTTGTGGATACAACAATAACATCATCACATTGACATTATTGAGAAGAAAGTGATGCAAATAAAGGGTTGTGAAATCTGGAAAAGAATGAATAGAGAAAAGTCAAGAGAGAGCTGACAGGGAAGAAGTAGAATTGCCAAAGATCTACAGATCTAAAGTTTAAGAGCCTCAAAAAATTACAATAATGTATGTGCAACTAAAGGTAAAAGTTAAAAAATACTAATATCTGAAAATTTATTGAAAAACTAGTTTTAAAACAGAATGCTTTAGACAAATATTGATTTAACTGTTTAGCATCATCTCTTAAATAATTACCAACTGTTTTATCAGGTATACTTAATTAACCAAGAAATTCAATTATGTACAAAGAAGACAGTGGACTTATTTGAAATTAACAGAATATGACAAAGATTTGGAAGTAGACTTTTGATTCATTGCTTAGGGTGAAATCTTACAGAAAAAGCTAGAAGATGACTGGAGGTACAGGTGGCATAGCTTCTCTGTTGTTTATCTGTTAGGGAAAAGAACAGAACTTTGGGAACAAAATCAATAGAACTACAGATACATTCTAGGGTGCTAAGGAGGTATTCACCAGTAAAACTCAGGGAGATAAAACAAGTTGAGGAAATGAGCCTGTTTTAGTTGCTATTTTTTTTAACAGACTATTTTTTGGAGCATAGGTTCACAGCAAAAATAAGACAGAGAGAGAGAGATTGAGAGATTGAGAGCAGAAGGTACAGATATTTTCTATATACTCACTGCCCTCACACATGCACGGCTTCCCCAACTATCAACATCCCTCACCATTTGTTAAAAGTGATTAATCAATATGGCCATGTCATTATTAACCAAAGTCCATAGTTTCTATTAGGGTTTCCTCTTGTTGTACAACACGAGGAAATATATCAAAGCCAATATTTGTGACTTTGAACAAATGTATAATAACAGGTATTCATCGTTATAGTTTTAAGCAAAATAGTTTCACCACCCTAAACATCTCAAGTGCAATTAAGGATCTTTGTTCTGTCTCCACACTTTTATCATTTCCAGAATGCCATATAGTTGGAACCAAGGTACCCTTTTCATATTGGTTTATTTCACTTAGAAGTACATTTAAGGTTCCCCCCGTCTTTAAATGGCTTCACAGCTCCTTCCTTCCTTCCTTCCTTCTTTTTTTAGATGGAATCTTTCTCTGTCACCAGGCTGGTGTGATCTTGGCTCACTGCAACCTCCAACTCCCTGATTCAAGTGATTCTCCTGCCTCAGCCTCCTCAGTAGCTGGGATTACAGGCACGTGCCACCACGCCCAGCTAATTTTCATATTTTTAGTAGAGATGGGGTTTCCCCATGTTGGCCAAGATGGTCTCAATCTCCTGACCACCACCAGCCTCAGCCTCCCAAAGTGCTGGGATTACAGGCATGAGCCACTGCACCCAGCCACAGCTCATTTCTTTTTAGCACTGATTAATATTCCATTGTCTGCTGTATCACAGTTTATTCATTCATTGACCTACTGAAAGACATCTTGGTTGTTCCAGGTTTTAGCATTTACATAAAGCTGCTATAAACATCTATATGCAGGCTTTTGTGTAGGCATAAGTTTTCATATTCTTTGGATAAATACCAAAGAGCAAGATTGCTAGATGAAATTTCCAATAGAGATTTAGAAGTAATTTGAGTCCACTTTCAAATAACACTATGCCACTTCATGGGTAGTGTAAGTACCTTATAATAAAAAAAAATTCTAATTCCTCTCTCTTATCCATATCATTGCTGGCATTCATTACACTTATACATAACCATACAGAAACATATATATATATATATATATTCAAATACATTGTTGCTATTGTTTTGAACAAACTGTTACCTGTTACATGAATTAGGAATCAAAAATAGAAGTTTTTATTCTATCTTTATTTTTTTTCATTCTCTTTCTATCTTTATGTAGATTCAACTTTCTGACCTATATAATTGTACTTCTCTCTACAGAGTTTCTTTAACACATCTTGCAAAGCAGGTCTACTAGCAACAAATTCCATTAATTTTTGATTGTCTGAGAAAGTCTTTCTTTCTGCTTCACTTTTAAAGGATAATTTTGTAGGGTACAGAATTCTAGTTTGGTGGGGTTTTTTTCCTCAACATTTTAAATACTTCACTCTCTTCTTACTTGCATGGTTTCTGAGAAAAAGTAGTATGTAATTCTTTGCTCCTCTATAGGTAAGAAGTTTTTTCCTCTAGCTCCTTTCCAAATTTTTTCTTTATTTTTGATGTTCTGCAATTTGAATATAATATGCCCACATGTACTTTTTGTTGTGTTTTTTTTTTGTTTTGTTTTGTTTTTCTTTTTCTTTTTTCTCTATCTTTCTTTGTTTTTTTGCAACTACCTGAGCTTCCTAGTTTTGTAGTCTGGTATCTGTCATTAGTCTGGAAAACATTCTTAGTCACTATTGTTATTGCTTCAAATATGTCTTATCTCCTTTCTCTCTTCTCCTTCTGGTATTCCCATTATGTGTAGTTAAACCTTTGCTGTTGTCTCACAGTTCTTGGGTACTCTGTTTTTGTAGTCTAGTCTTTTTTTTTTTTTTTCCTCCGCTTTTCAGTTTTGGAAATTTTTTTTTTATTGAAATATCTCTAAGCTCAGAGATTCTTTCATCAGCAATGTCTGAGGGAACATTTACAGAGGGCCAGGCACTGGGCACCATGTGCCATGCTAGGCACCAGATCAGTGCTTTCCAGTCCATTTTATTAACTGGATCAGAAATACGTGAAGATCTCTTGATAAGTGTGCAGATGTCCAAGGACTACCACATGTCCATGGGGAAAACAGAATACAGGTATTTGTATTTTCTCAATTTTAATAATCTTGGATTTATTTTCAATATTTCTTTCTACCCCATAGTAATCCTCACCAACATCAAGACACCATACTCATTTAAAAAATATTTTTGAGTCCTTTATCTAATCATATATATTCCTCATATCTATCTACTTCCTTCCATCATCATTTTTACTATAGTTTAGTGTATGTTTCTGCTAGGCAATTACAATAACTTTTTAACTGGTATTCCTTTGTCCACTCTTGCCATTTACATCTGTTCTTCCACGGCAGCCAGAGTGATTATTTCAAAACCTAAGGCATATCATGCCATTTCCTTGCTTAGTAACCTCCCAGCATAAAATCCCCATGCTAGTTAATTGATAACCTATTTTAGGAACCATGTCTTCTTATCCCTTGTAAGTCTCTTTCTTTTATTATCATGGGTATGAATTTTCAAACTTAAAAATAAACTTGATTTTCAAAAGGGATAAAATTGTGGTCAATGTGTAATTTGTACTGCAATACTCTCAAACGTTTTTTAAAAATGGAAATAAAGAGAATTTAAGACTATGATCACATCCAAAGTGTTGTCCAAAAGCACTTATTCAACACTCCTAATAAACCAGAGTACAAAGGCCAGTGCAGGATCCTTAACTGACAATCAGCTTATGTAATTTTTTCTCTAAAAGATTTCCATTTTACCATTGTACTTTTTTTATCTTTTAAGGTACATGTGAGCTAGATTTCTTTCAAAGTGAAAGACGATTTAAAACTTTAAAATTTGTTTTTATTTCTTTAGTTTTTATGTTTCTTTAAACACCACCATGTGGTCATGGCTGACTAGGTTAGGCTGAATGAAAATAGTGTAGTGAAATATCATGAATTTTTCAGTCAGAAGACAGGTTCAAACCCAAAATACATTTTTTAATTTTAGGAACTCAGGCAATTTAATTAAGCTTTGTGAGCCTCAGTTTCCACATTAACATATTATATGGGCATAGTAATAATAATGATGACTGCAAATAATTGTTGTGAGCATTTAATAATATAATACATGTAAAAACAGAAAGCCCTACATGTTAAATGCCTTCTTCTTAGGTGAATCAGAATTAAAAACAATTGCTCTTTAAATTAAGGAAACCGTAGTATTTACCTTCTAGTTTTTCAGTTCCTTAATCATCTTTCCAATTTTTATGGTTTTAAAAACAAGCACACAAGGTATGTAAAGTGGCTTTATTGAAATAAGCTATTCTTTCATTTTCATATCTTTGACAGGTCTACAAACTTGGAGTCCTTACTAGGATTTCTCTACACCTCTAATTTGGGAATTGAAAAAAAAAATCGCTAAAATGTACACATTTTGTACACATACTTCAGGTGGCCTCAAGTGTGGTATTATAAAATTTAAGAATTGGAATGGCCTTCAGAAACAATCTCTTTTACTAATAATTCTGCAAGCAACTAATATTTATTGAATGTTTAATGTGTCAAACATCATGCTAACGGCTTTACATGTAGTCCTTCATGTATTAATTACTCCAGTACTCTTGTATACATTATTTTTTATCTTCCTTGTATACATGAGGGAACTGACACTCTGAAAGGTGAAATAACTTGCTTAAATTCACATAGTAAGTAGCAGTGCCGGATTCTGAAACCAAGTTGATTCACCAGCTTCAAAGCCCATAGATTTACCCACCACATTCTTATAAATCATTAATGAAAACACTCATTAGAAAATGGGCAGGAGATGGTCACATTCACTGGACACCGAGTCTGGCTCAAGGTGATGAGTGTGGGAAGGTGTGTGGGGAGGCTTTCTTTCTACTGCAAAGAAGCGAGTCTGAGGGCTGGCACCAACCAGCAATGACTCCGCTTCCACTTCCGGAGAGCCGGGGAGACGATTCCGGTTCTCGGATCCCCCTTCTTGGTCACCTGCAAGTCCCGGCTCGCTCCACCTATAGAAGGAGAAGCCATCTCAGTATGATCTTTGTGAACATAATCGACCTTTAATGACTTCTGAAAGGAATAGAGTTTCCTTGGTGAGCCTCAGAGAGAGTTGTGCCACGTGATGCGGAGAATTTTGCATGTATAACCGTACCAGGTTGTTGGTGTGGAGCAAAGGGAGGGCAGACATCCTTCGTGGAGTGTTTCAGTAGAAAGTGTCACAGCTAGGTCCATTCATCCAGAAGGCTCATCCCTGTGAGAAGTGTGTTCTGGTCATAAGGGACATTCTGTACCTGGCTGATCACCAAGGAACGCTGTCTGGGCAGAAATGGTACACTTGTGAGGCATGTGGGAAACAATTCTGGTTTAGTGCAAACGTGCACCAGGCACTAGAAGGAACACAATGGAATGGAGATGTGGACAACGCTTTCTCTGAGAAAGGCTGCAGATTTTAAGTGTCAGGAAGGCACTTCACCTGTGGGAAAGTTGGGAAGGATTTTCTTGGCAACTGTGCCTTCTCCAACACAGGCTACTCACAACTGGATTGAAGTCACACAGCAGCACCAAATGTAGGGAGGCCTTTCACAGCAGAAAAAGTCATTACAAGTGCAGTGAACCAGGAAAGCTTTCGGGTACAAATACAAACTAGCTCAACATCAGGGAATTCACAATGGAGAAAAGGCCTTAGGAGTGTGGCAAATGTGGGAAATTATTTAGCCAAAACTCCACTCTCATTTGTCACTGGATAATCATGCTGGAGAAAGACTTATGAGTATGTTGAATGTGGAGAATTTCTTTAGCCAAAGCTCTGGCTTCATTGAACACTAGAGAATTCACACTAGAGTTAGGCCTCATGTGTATGGTGAATATAGGATATCCTTTAGCCAGAGCTCCATCCTTAGTTAATCACAGAGAGTTCACACTGGAGCAAAGCCCTATGAATGTGTAAATATGGGAAATCCCTTCAACAAAGTCCTGGACTTATTCAACACTGGAGAATCCACACTGGAGAAAGGCTTCCATATTCAGTATAACAACTCGGGGGGAAAACCTCTGTGAATGTAAAGGAGGCATCAAATCCCATACATCTGAACATCCACAGCGGAGAAGTTCCCCAAAAATTCCAGGTAAGTGGGAAGCTTTAAGGAGCTACATTGTACTTTCTAACCTGTGCAGGACAGGACCCTTGCCAGATTTAGGTCACTGCCAGTTTCTGTGGCATAAACCATGTCACCTCTACCACCTGACAGGTTCCCCATAGTGTATATTAGTCACCTCAGTGTAACAAAAGAAAGCAGATGTTTCTGTTCTCTCATTCCCTGGAGAAAATCACGAATAGTCTGTGCCCTTAGGGGAATGTCATTCCTTCCTCTCTGACTAGTTAAGGCATGATCCTGACACAATCTTGTCTAAGAAGATTGATCTAGCCTGAGTATTACCGGCAATTTGCAAATCGTTTTTCCTTCTTCCAATTTTGGTCTAATTTGCTTTGCTGCCAAAGCCCACCCAGGAAAGAGTATTTCACTTTGTGATCCTAATTTGTGGCCTGAATGCCAGGATTTCTTTGTAGGCTCAGAGTTCGCCCTGAGGATGGGGAAGTTGTTGTGACATCCTGTAGTACTCTGGGGAGAAGGATGAATCCCTTTTTCTCGGGGATGTCACATAACTCCTAGCACCCCTAAGAAGACTCCAGGCACTGCAGAGGAACCATGTGCCTGGATGTCCAAAACTCAAGTTTCTGGTGTCACTTGTAAGAGGCCAGGCTGAAACCATAACTGGTGCAGAAACACTGAGTGTGATTAATGAGGTCTGGAGGAGACTGCATCAAGGTTGAGAATGGCATCACCTCTGCAGTGTCTCCATAGGTGTTTCAATGGCTGTGGCTATGAGCATGAGTGGGTGCACTCCATGCTGGTGTTTTTCCTGGAACTGACATCACTGTCAGAGCAAATAAGGTTTTGTTTACTCCTGTCATGACCTCAAGGCCATTGCTGCACAGTCAAGAAAATGAAAATAGAGAAATGAGAGATCTCATAGTCCAGCGATGTGGTTTTTGTCACCCTTCTAACATTTCTGTTGACTCATATAGAAATGATGTTTATTGCTCATCAATATTTCCTCCCACTGATGCGGGCTGCCTTTCCAAAGGCATGGTGGAGTCACTATAGGGTTGCAAAACCTTATGTTTTCCTTTAAAAAGTAGATCCAGACTTATAAGTCATTTTTAACTTCTATTGAAACATAATTGGCTTGCTATAAACTATACATATTTAAGGTGTATAGTTGAGTTGATTATCAGCTCGGGTGATATACCAAGACCTTCATCTCTATAAAAAAATTTAAGAATATTAGCTCCACTTGGTGGAGCTTGCCCTTAGTCCCAGCTTCAGAGACTTGGATGGAGAATCCCTTGAGCCCAGGAGTTCAACACTGTAGTGAGCTATGATCACAG